TTTTTTTTTTTTTTTAATTAATGAACTGCCTTTTTTCATCTTCTTTATTTTCTTTATCTTCATTCCTTTACACTTACAAAGGATACTAATACTACACATAAGTTTGGGAGTTTTACTTTCTAGGACATGCTTTTACATTTTTTATTGTGTTTGTGTGCTTGTTCAATGTTCTCTCTGGTTTTATAAAGCAAACCAAAGTAGAAAAATTATCTTGCACTTCAAATTCTGTTATGTTGTTAGTGTAGTTGAAACATTTAAGCACTTGTTTTTTAATTAATCAGTAACAAAAATGGATTTCATTGTTCTTAAATGAAGACCAATGGACTATTTAAAATTTGCTAGACTTTTTGAGCTCTACATGTAAATATAGCAGATGGTTGGGAAGCTCTCACTTCTTCGTCTGGGACTGGAACAGCTTAGTTTAGTAAGGCAAATGGGGTCATTTTGTTTGGTCTACAAGGCATATTTAATAGGGTCAAGGTCATAGATTCAATTCCACTTCAATTAGCTTTGCCCCTTTTCATTTCCATGGGCTGAATTTCTAAGTATAGACATCCATCCAACAAATAAATCCATGTGCCGGCCAAAGGGGAAATAATGAGAACATGGGGATGGATCCATAAAAGCGTGTCGCAACTTAAGAAAAATAAAAACAGCTTAGAAGCCAGCAGCTAGGAAATGATTGAACAGTGACAAACTGGCTGATTCCTAATGCCAAGAGGATATTTGAAGATGACGCATAAGTACCTTCAAAAATCAAACATTTGTCCATAAATGTAGAAGACTGTAGGGGATGAAGAAATGTGTGGAACAGTTTCCCCTTCAATGAAGGACTGTTGTCTGAGATGATTCAAGTGCTGTTGACACGTCCCTTCGGCTCGCAGCCCTTTCAGAGACTGCCTCACCCCTTTCTCTTGCAGGAGCAGCCAAAATCCTTTACCTGATTCCTGCGGGGGGAGTATGAAGGCCAGGCCATCTCCGTCCAATGCTAGACAATTCAGACAGGCCAGTCTAGCTCTTGAGCTCCTTAAGGGGTCAGCTGGGGCTGTGGTTGGTCCTGAATGAGAGCTTAGTTTCTCCCTCTGTCAATTTTTTTGTCCTTCCCATCCTTCCCACGCATATGGATCCCAAGGGCCCTCCTTAATATAAACATTCTGTGTACTAAACTCCAGTGCAGAGCCTGCCTCCTGGAAAACCTGACTGTTGCAAATACTTTTTCAGTTTCTATTTAATGTCAGAACTGGCTTCATAATTTGCAGGTTCCAATGCAAAATGAACACACAGGGGATCTCTTAAAAAACTGTAAGACTCTAGATGGTGTTGCAGAAAATTAAACCAAGTGTGGAGTCTTCTACAGGCAGGACCAATGTGATGACACTGATTGCATGCCCACCCTATTTAGGCAGAAATCACTGTTGTCATTAAGAATTCAGAGACTATATAATCATATTTCTGATGATTTACCACAGGAGATAATACAAAGACAGGAGAAAATTCAAAGAATGGGACAGTTTTAGAGCCATGCGAATAAATTCCTGGTAATAAAATTTGGCCATAGGCATTTTATTAAACACATTGACAAGAAACATAATTTTGTAAATTACTGCATGAAATTATTGCAATATCTGAAGCTATAAATATAAGAAATAGAACAACTTCTATTTAAAATTTTGAACTTTGAACACTTGTAGCACAAAAGACAGTGAAATTACTTAAAATTTTAGAAAGACTCTGATCTTATGTGAGCTAATGTCATGATCACTAATATGTGCAAACACCATTCAAAAGGTTTTAGGATTGTGCTTGCACATATTTTGATCACTCACTCTTAATCTCTTGTTATAAATGCAGTGTCCTCAGTCAAATTATCTGCCCCTTGACCTCATGGCCCAGATGATTGTTACAAATAGTTATTGGGATTTAGTGAAGCACAACTGACTGTCGCGATCAAGATGCCAGTATTCAAAGCGGTAGACAGTATTCAAAGCAAGCAGAGCTCCCCATTTGAAGAGTATTTGAGCAAGGCATAGACCTATTAAGCCCTGCCACGCAGCAACATCTTCTTACATAAATTGTTATTATTATTATATTACTAACAAAAATAGCAATGCAATTATGAAGCCCTCATATAGATTTTAAATGTTTTCTGACACATTTCCTTTTTAAAGAAACTCCTCGAATAACATATGTTCTGTACTGTGTGCTATGCTACATTTGCTAAAGAAAAGCAAACAGTCAAAATAGCATCCCAATTATATTTATTTATCCATCTGCTATTGATTGGCATTTGGGTAAATTTTAGTTTGTGTCTGTTAGTGATGCAATGCATATTTCTCCAAGTGGATATTCAATGGATATGCAATAGATACTCAATATTTTTGAATATTCTGTGTTTTTACACATAGAATATCCACAACAGTAAAAATAAATCAACTCCAACCTCCTGCCACAATATGGATGTCTCACAAAAATAATGTTGAGTGGAAAAGCCAACATGAAAGAGTACACACTGCATGTGTCCATTTATACAAAGTTCAAACACAGGCAAACCTGCAGCATTAGAAACCACAATATTGAAATGAGGTGAAAAATCCTTGGATTCAGATTGAATCACATGAAAAGAGAGGCGGAGCAGAGGCTGGATGAAAGCCACAATTCAGTTTCAAGACTTCCTGCTTGAGCCAGTGGTCATGAAATCAGACAGGTACCCATTTGTTGCTTTGTCTTCCTTTTGACTCCTCCTGTGTCATGAACTGGACTTCTTTTTTTTGTTTTTCTTTTTTTGAGAGTTTCGCTCTGTCGCAGAGGCTGGAGTATAGTGGTGCAATCTTGACTCACTGCAACCTCCGTCTTCTGGATTCAAGCAATTCTCCTACCTCGGCCTCCCAAGTAGCTGGGACTACAGGCGCCTGCCACCACGCCCAGCTAATTTTTGCATTTTTAGTACAGACAGGGTTTTACCATGTTGGCCAGGCTGATCTCAAACTCCTGACCTCAGGTGATCTGCCTGCCTCGACTTCCCAAAGTGGACTTCTTTTTTACACCTCAAGGATTGGTGACTATTTTTTAGGTGAGTGTGTGGCTAAGGGAATACTTTTCATTGATGTCACCAAAAGAACTTCAAACTAACTTGACTCTTATTTGAAATTCTACTAATACCAATATTGTAAAGAGTTGGATTTTTTAAGACATTGTCCCCTACTGATTAAAAAAAAATAATACTCCTAGGGAAAGTAATGAATTACAACTTCTTCTTTAAGACAGAGATCATTTCTTATTCTTCTTTGTAAACCCAAAGCCTTGTACCAATTTTTGACAAAAAATAAAAATGAAAAGTGTTTGCCGAATGGGAGATAACTCTTCAGTCATTACATGCTGCCATGAATCAATCCCAGATTCTTTCCTCAGGGATATTTTCTGCTATGGAGACGTTGCTCTCACTGGACCACAAGGCTGGGGAGTGATGGTCAGCTGGGAAGCTGTGATAAATGACTGGAAATAAACACTGAAAATATGAAAACAAATTGTGCTTTCTGCACAACTTTGCCAAGGAGTAGCCTCAATCACAACACATCCAAAATAGTATAAGAAAATCTTCAGCATTTGGTCTAACAGACAAGAGTGTATGTGTATGTGTGTGTATATATATACACACACACACATATATATATATACGCTCTTCAGCATTTGGTCTAACAGACAAGAGTATATATACACATATATAGTAATACTATATATATAATAATACTATAATAATTAATATAATAATATAATAATACTATAATAATAGAGTAACACTATATATAGAGTAATACTATATATAGATTATATATAGTAATATATAGTATATAGTTATATAGAGAGTAATATAAAGTAATATATAGATAATAATACTATATATATTACTATATATAGCATTATACAGTAATACTATATAATACTCTATATAGTAGTAGTATATACTATATAGTAATATAGAGAGAGTAATACTATATGGTAATGTATATAGTAATGTATATAGTATTACTCTCATATATATATAGTATTACTCTCAGATTCATTTACTTATACATTCATTCATTCATGTAACAAACAGTTGCTATGGTGTGTCATGCATTGTGTTGCTGCAACTGATACAAGAGTGAGCACAAAAAAAAATCATGGTTGATGCGCTCCTAGAACTTAAAATCTAGGGATACAGATAAAATTTTAAAAATCACACCAATAACATAAAACTACAAGAGTGGTAAACATTTAGAAGGAACAAGGAGGGTCCCAATTTAGAGAGATGAGGAGGAGGAGGAGGAGAAAGGCTTGACTGTCCTCCTGAGTGTCTCCCACAGCCCGAGTTACTCTCAGAGTTAACTGGACAGAGACATGGAACTTAGCGTTAAATACCCAAAGTAGGTATGGCTCAGCCGGCTGTTATTTTTCAGATTCTCAATGTGCCTCTCACCCCCTCTGACATTCAGACTCCTGGCTGTCATTTTCCAGAAGATTTTGAGGTAATCTCTCCATATGAGTTAGAAAATATGCTTCCCAAATCACCATATCCTTAACAAAGGGTGGTCAAAACCTACCTGACGATAAGACTTTATGGAGAGAGGTTCCCTAAAGCACCTTCACTTACTTGTAATAATTCTAAAGCTAGGAAAGCAATTTTGTTTTTTTCTTTACTTTTCCTAAATTTTTTATTTTTTCTAAAGCTGCTTCTAGTTATCGTTTGCCCCATACATTGGTATAACAGGATTTAATACCAGCCTCCTTTAGTATTTGACAACTTTTAACAACTTTTTATTAAAGTTTTCTTCTCCCCATATTTTAATAGGATGTAATGTAAAAAGAAATTGCAAGGTGCATTGAGCACTAGTTGTCAGTTCAATACAGACATATATATATATATATGTCTGTATTGAATATTTGTATTATGTGTGTGTATATATGTGTGTGTGTATATATATACACACACACACACAATTATGTAAGGAAAACGTAAGCTATCTTACCAAAATTAAGCATTTTTAAATTATTATATGATGTGCCAAAGACAGGAATGAAAAAGATAATTAAGATGATAGGTTTTTGGTTTTCTTTTTGAGACAGTCTCGCTCTGTCACCCAGGCTGGAGTGCAGTGGCATGATCTCGGCTCACTGCAAACTCTGCCTCCTGGGTTCAAGTGATTATTGTGCCTCAGTCTCCTGAGTAGCTGGGATTACAGGCATGCACCACCACACCCAGATAATTTTTGTATTTTTAGTAAAGATGGGATTTCACCACGTTTGCAAAGCTGGTCTTGAACTCCCGACCTCGAGTGATCCGCCCTCTTTGGCTTCCCAAAATGCTGGCATTACAGGAAGATAGTTTTAATTAGGGTAATTGCAATAGTAAGTGAAACATCTCAAAGAAGAGGGAAAAAGCTTGAGGTTTTACAAAGGAAGGGTGTTAAGAGGGCGGGTGGAGATGGGTCTGGAGTATGCAAGGGCACGATGGTCTTTTGTGGTAGCCATTTTCCTAAATTAAATTTAAAAAAAGAGGCAGTTGGATTTCTTAATCCTCACTGATCTCTGAAAGTGCTAGACTTAGATAAATTCATCATTGTCAGTCCTCCTATGTGTCCACTGTGAGTCACTGAGCAATACTGAGCATGTCATAGACTTCCTAAATGAGATGAAGAGAGTTGAAGAAATCATCACTGAAAGGCTCTTGTTGAAGATGTTTCTAAAAAATTCAACTGGTTTGCAGAAACCTCTGGGGAAGATCCCAGGTGATTTAAGCTCCCAGAGAGCAAGTTATTTACATAAAGGAGGGATTCCTGAAATAAAAAGCAGAAGTATATATAAAAGCCATATTAAAGATCCAGGAGTTGAGCTCTGAGGCGATTGATCAGTCCAGTGAATTCTAGAAGACTGGTGTAAGCAAATCCCTTGTCATGCCACAGCACTTCTTGAGTTTCTTGAAGCTCTCAAGCTGGGATGCTGATGCCCTCTGTAATGTTGTTCACAATCCAGGTCCCCTCCTGTATGAGGGCATGAATGTCCTGAGCATTTCTTCAAACTACGTTAGTAGTTTATAGACAAGCAGCTTGTCCAGGGCGAACTCAGGCCAGTGGTGGTCTGCAGCATGATGAGGTCTCTGAGGTTTATACAAAGTCATCAGGCTTCAGCTCTTAGGGCTTCTTCAGATCCAGAGACAGCTTCCAGGCCACCAAGAGACCCAGTAAGGGATCTGGACAGCTCGATTTTAGTCCTCAGTGACTTCCAATCAAGTAAAAACAAGAAAAACTGGAAAAGGTCATTTAGAGAATAGTGACCCGATATTAAAGAAAATAGAGGAAAAGGGAGAATTTCATAAGGATTATCAGTTTGGGAAAGGTAACATGTTCCAGCCCAATTTGCAGTTAAACACCAACTCTCTTTTTTTCCCACAGAAAGGGCAAAAGTCAGTTAAGTGTTCACCAGGTAATATGGTTTGGATTTGTGTCTCCACCCAAATCTCATGTCAAATTGTAATCCCCAGTGTTGAAGCAGGGGACTGGTGGGAGGTGATTGGATGATGGGGGTGAATTTCCCCCATGGTGTTCTCATGATAGCATTTGAGTTCTTACTAGATGTGGTTGTTTAAAAGTATGTAGCACCTTCCCCTTCACTCTATTCCTCCTGCTCCTGTCATGTAAGACATGCCTCTGATCATGATTGTAAGGCTCCTGAGACTTCCTCAGCCATGCCTGTGTAGTCTGTGGAACTGTGAATCAATTCAACCTCTTTTCTTTATAAATTACCCAGTCCCAGGTAGTTTTTTATAGCAATGCAAGAACAGACTAATACACCAGGCAAAATACAGTGTACATATCCATAAGTTCTGTTTAATTTACAAAGAAGCAGAACACAGCTCAAAGACGATGGGCAGGGATAAAATCTGATAACACAAAGCAGTGTACGGCATGTGATACACGGTTTTCCATTGAGACCTGTCATTTTTCGCTACAGCATTTTGATCAAAAGTAACCTCAAAGAAAGCGCATTCTTAATCACAAAATAAGGCTGATCTCTTTAGATCTGGCCTGATTATGTACACAGGTACAGCAAGAATGGTAATTTACCACATAGGCATTCTTATGTTTGCTGTGCTGGAAATCTTTATAAGGGATCTCAGATTGGATATTTGGGAAACCTAGGAATCCAAGGCAACAATTCAGCACTAGAAATTTGAGCAAATTTCTCTCCTTTCTGGTTTTCAAAATATCCTGATTTCTGGACCTGCCAGTAAGTCACTCTTCTTACTCACTCATAAGGCTGAGAATCTTGTAAGCTGAGTGTCAGGCCAGGTTTCTAAGAGGGCATTGTAAGCATTGGCCCCATAAAGTCAACCTTAGCTTAAAGTGTCTAGTTGCATCTGATTAAATGAGCATCATTCTCAAATATGACATTCCAAGCAAGATCTTGGTTGCATAAGCAATGTTTCTAATTGTGTTCTTTTGACAAGGACATGCAAATAACTGTATTATATAATGTGAATGTATGCACAGAACTATACTGCTATGAAAATAAGAACATTCAAGAGGTTCACAATTTTGAAAGAGTTGGGCAAAGAGAAAAATATTTCATTTAAAAATGTTTCAGTTTACAAAAGCAAAGTCTACTGCATTGTTTTGAGTTATAGATAAAGAGAAAAGGCTTCCTTATATATCTATAAAAATAGAAAATCAAAGCACCAATAATACCACAAACAAAACCCACAGCCATCTCTTTTCAGTATCTTCAGTCCGATGTAATTAATACGTGTTCCACTCGATCTTGGGTTGACAGTCTCATGAATATGAATCCACCGGTCTCTCAGCTGTTTTCTCAACTGAAAAACTGTTTTTTTCCATCAGTTTTGGAAATCCTGGCTCACTCCATTGGTAGGTTCTCATTTAAGCAATGATACAATCAGAAACCTATTTCCAAACATACCTGACATAGTCCTATTTTATAGGGCTCTGAGAGTCTCCTTTGTTGAGGATGGAAAATTCTGAGCTATAGTAGATTACCAGAGCTTTCATGTAAGCTTCAGGGTAAAACAAACAATATCTCTAAATGACCAAAGACTTAAAATGCCTGTGGTTAATTTCTTACTTGTAAGGCTCAAAAGTGCAAGGTCTGATGAGATTTGTTTTAAAAAAATAATTCAATAGGCAAAGAAATTTTGTTGTTTTTGTTGCTTACAACACAAGGTAATAAAGTAAATCCAAAAAGGTTTTAGACAGAATATTTATAAACATAACAATTAGTTATTATCAAAAAGAGGAGATATTCTATGTAATCTTTACACAGAAAAAGCTCAGATATTACATATACTAATCTTGATACATAATATAACAAATATATCAAGCTTATGGTTCTATCAAGAATATCAAGTAAAATATTATGGAAGTCTAGACTAGATGCTCAACACCTGAGTATTAGTAAAATGTCATAAGTCAGTCATGTAAATTCTTAGTACAAAACCACTGGTCTAGAAGATATTAGATTCAAATTAAAGAGATAAAATTGTGACCAAGTCAATATTTAAAAGAAATACCTAAAATTATGAATGATAACACTACGGTGTTGTTGTCTAACCCAGGCAAAGTAGCACCAGACTCTAACAAAGAGAAACATATGAAAAGAAAGGGCACTGACAAATCTCTATTTAATTCCAATCCAGCATACAGTTTCTGAGATATTTATATTAACAATATTTTACCCATAACAACTTCACCTAGGGAAAGCTTAGGATCTCTTCTAATTTTCAAGCACTTCCTACACACTTATCTGTAGTAAAGTATCAAATACATTTGATTATTTATAGCACTTTTCTTTTTATAATGTGAAAAAAAAGCCTTTTATGTCTAGGGCCATCTGGGTGGTTTTAAAGACAGATTTCCTAGAGAAAATAACAATCCAATCTTGGGAAGGGAAAATATCAAAAGTTGTTGGAAGATCTGAACACTTGAACAAGTTCATATTGATACAATGATAGAGGCAGGCGGCAGAGAAATTCTAGGCAGACAAGGGTGGGTCCCTGGCAAAACCCCACCTTCAAGTAGAAAATCCTGAAACCCATGGCCCAAAGTGAGAACTTGCATCCCTCTTTTTCTGCTCCAATGTTGCCTTTTCCTATACTACCCACAGCTTACTCTGCCCCCCATCCTGTGCCTATAAAGATCCCAGACTCAGTCAGAGACAAAGGGAGAAGCAGCTGGATGTCTGAGAGAAGGAACTTGACTTCAGATACAAGGAGTAAGCTGGCAAACAGATCTCATAAAAATGAAACTTTTATTTTTTTTTTATTTATTTTTATTTTTTATTTTTAT